GGTCGGTGGTAACTCTTCTGGTGGAAGGGTAGAAGTCTACTATCGAGGGGAATGGGGAACAATTTGTGACTCTGGTTGGAATGAACTAGCCACTTGTGTTGTCTGTAGAATGCTGGGCTACAGGTAACAATTAATTTGCTTATATTCAATAAAGCTTATATTTCATTCAAGTCTCATTATTTTTGGATTAAAGATCATAAAAATCTCAAAATTATCAGCGAAATAAAGAAAATATATTTTTATCTATTTAGCGCATTTCTTTATATTTAAGTATAAAAAGTTATTAAAAGTTATCCTTTAATCACAGACTATTTCAAATTGTTTTGCAAAAGTTCAACTTTTATATTACAAATATTCCCCATCGTCTTAAGGTCAAGATCTAGTATATGACTTTAGACTGTCTTTTTGGTGCTAGTTCCATTATGACGTCATAATCAGTTTAAACTTTCTTTTTCCCGTACTTTACGGCTCTAATAGAACAATGTAGAAAATAAAGTTTTTTCATAGAATTCAATTTGAAATCATGTGAAAATTAATCCGGAAACCTATATTCAATTTGATATTAATTTAAAAAAGAGGATAAGAAGAAACAAATTACCGTTTTCTGAGAGACTGTAGGCAATCTGGATACATTTCCTTTCTCCAATAAAGAAAAAACTCCCATATTCATGACTGATTTTATTAATTTTTCATAAAAAAAGACAGTGTAAAATATGATTTTTCGTCCTGTTTACCTACTAAAATATGCCCCGATACACCTTATTTGACCAAGCTACACTTAAAAAGCATCTTTAAAGGAACTTATCTTTCAAATTTGAGAAATCAGTAGGCTCCTTTCATTTACTAGATCTTGACCTTAATGTGTTGCTATTAACACTTTTGAAACTTTATTATCCAAGGTAATTTGAAAATTTCCAACCTGTACTTTTTGTTTTCAAAACTCCTTTTTAACAACTTACATTTCATAAAATTATTTAATTTTAGACTGGTAAATTTTTTGTTATATGAAATACTAATATGAGATGCCCAAGGGCCACATGCTTTGTTGAGCATTATTGCTCATTTTGATACATGAATATTTATGTGAACTATAGAATAACTATTATAGCTTCTTCACTAGTAACCCAAATACGAAGGAGAGCATATTTGGAAGCGAACATGTACATGTGCGTGCGGGTTTTACTGTCTAATTACAGCTTCTTGTTTTATATGTCCATGTTTTCAACTAATTCTAACGAATCTTGAGGTAATCTTATTTGTTTACATCGTTGCTCCTATATTATGATAGGGGCATTCATTTTTGAAAAGGTCCATACTTAAATTAGTTAAATAAAGACTGGGTAGTCAAGAGCTAACTAAAGCAGATAAAAGATTCGGTAAATATACTCGCATGCCTTAAAGGTGCTTGGACACAGATTTGAAGTTAATATTTTCTCAAATTTTCTGTATAATTTCATGACTTATATATTGCTATAGCATTTCATACTAAAATATAATAAAAATCGTATTTCATCATTCATAGTTATTGAAATTTCTGAACGCGTTTCATTGACACATCCATGCACTTTCACAAATTTTAATTTTATTTTTAATACTTAAGAAAAGTGGCAATTTTGTTGTGTATTAATGAAAAATATTAAAACTATAATCCAGAAAATTCAGAGTAGAAATGTTCGAAAGCAAAACTCACTTACAGTATTGTCAGTCCGTGCTCAGTGGTGTGTGCAGACTTTAACAATTAAACACACGGTGAATCGAAAACATTAACAATAACAGAGCTCGTGCCCTGTTTACAAAAACAGTTTACTTTTAACGGGTGTATTCAATTTGTTAAACTCTGTACACAACACTGAGCACGGGCTGACGATATTAGTGAGGGTGTTTGCTTTCGCACATTTCTACTCTGAATTTTCTGGATTATAGATGTAATGTTTTTCATTAATACACAACAAAATCGCTTCTTTTCTTAAATGTTAAGGATAAAGATAAAATTTGTGCAAGTGGAAGGATGTGTTAATCAAACGCGTCCAGGAATTCGTAGTTCCAATAATTTCCAGATAAAATAAGTTCTTAATTATATTTTCGTGTGAAATACTATTTCAATATATAAGTCGTGATATACAGAAAATTTGAGAAAATATTAACTTCAAATCTGTGTCTAAGTAACTTTAATATCCACGAGTTTCAATTTAGGGACGGATTACCCATAGAAGACAGATATGAAAAAAAGTTCCTGGGCGAATATGGTTTGAAGAGGACAAATGTGAAGGAAAAGAGTCCTCCATAATAAATTGTTCAAAAATACTCAGCGAAAGCCACAGCTGTTTTCAGGTTGCAATTGTACAATGTTTTTAGGCTCTTTCATTTAGCAGTAATGTAAAAATGTAATTATGTATAATCTAGTATTTTAATTTCAGAGAAGCTTTGATAATTTTATTTTTACAAATGTATATAGAGTCTTATCATGTTTATATGACAATTAAATCATAACTCTTTATAAACTGAACATAATTGCATTGTATTTGTTGGAATGAAGCATAAAAATGAATTTAAATTATACATCATCATGTATTTATAAGTTGAACATTATTTCACTGAATAGATAATATAATTAATTTAGTTGTTTATTATACATAAAAGTAATACCAAATATATTATATAAAACATTTTCATTAATCTATATAAATATGTGCCTCTAAAAACAAGCTGTTGTTATATCTTGTTCAAAAAATCCTAATAGAAATATATACTTTAAAAAAGTCTAACATTTCCAATGTTTTACTGAACAGTTTAAAAAAAAAAAAATCGAAAGATGGGTGTTGCAGGGGTTGCTTACTCTTCCTAGGCACCTGATCCTATATCTGGTGTTTCCAGGGGTCCTTGTTTTTGTCCTTTACAGAATTTATATGAGCTCGGTCACGATATTCGTTATTTTCACCAGAGTTTGTCATCAGACCATGATTCCCTGCAGGAAGAGTATGCAGAATGGCGATTACAGAGTTCTCTCGAATACTCTACGAAGATAGGGATATACAAGTACAACGACGGATTAGGAAAAAATGCATACTCGGAATTCGGAGAAATTTTTTTAGGAATCATGCACGATGTTTATATACTTTAATCTAATGTCATCCGAAAAGTTCATTGTCAATAATGTGATCAATAATAAACTCTACATGTATACAATTAAAGCTATAAACAGTAGACAAGAGCTGATTTTTCATGTAAAAAGAATGATTAAATGATCTGAAACATGAATTTAAAACAAGAAAAGAAAACACATTCCACAAAATTGTGGTTAATAAATCGTTGTTTTAACAAAGAAATTAAGTGAGATCTGCAATTAAGGACTTGCTGATTTTTCGTGAATATTGATGGAGGAGGTGCGTAAACAGCCTATATGCGCATGTCCGCTGAAAATCATAGAAAACGAGGCACGTTGTATTAAGTTTACAATTATGAAACAAATTCAAATATCTGTCATTACAGAGTAGAAGCTAATATTGATTGGTTTGAAAGATAATAATCATCAGAGGTAAAGAGCTTGCCGTTCATAACAAAGTCAATTCTATACCAACAGTTATACCAACAGTTATATTTTCTATAGCTAAAAACTTAAATGAAATCAAAATCTGGGCTTTAGATTCAGAGATACAATTTCACAGTAACGCCAATTTTAAGCTCTATTTTAAAATTATGATTTAGAACAACTGTTTAGACAACTTAGAAAGCAGTGACTGCGTGGCATCCTAAAGAAGCAGTTCGCCAGATTTGGAATTCCAACAACTATCTTGTCAGATGGTGGACCACAGTTCATGGTCAATGATTTCTGCATATTCCCTGGAAAATGAGGAATCAATCATGTGAGGTCGTCACCTCTTCATCCCGGCCGAATCGGCAGTGAAAATAATGAAGATCCTTATCATGAAATGTGAGAAGAATGGACAGGTTCACTTTGAGGCACTCATGTAGCAAAGGAATATGCCCCGCCAAGAAACAGGATACAGCCCAAATGCAATGATGTTTGGAAGACCGACTCGCACACTGATACATTTAACCGAAAGGGAATGAAACAAAATTCTCGACGCGAGAGGAAAATGAGAACTATAAAGAAATACCATTATCAATGGGCACGAGATCTACCTTACCTGCGAATTGGACAAATGTATATTTTGAACACAAGACCAGTGAAAGATGGATTTTTGGGAAAGTACTGGAAATACTTGGTGACTACATTTATCTTGTACAGTCCCAAAACAGAGATACATGTATATACCAACGATATCGTGTACATATTCGTCCAACACAAGTGCAAGCAACCATTCGCGACCAATTACCGATTAGATGCCCAGTCGATAAGGAACCTGTCAAAATGCAGATCAACATACCACATCTATAAAGTGGAAACCAGAAAGCATTCACAATCAATCCAGGAAACAAGATGAACCAGGAAACTTAACCAACAAATCAAAACATGATAAACAAAACCGCCAAAACAACAGAAGTGCATCCAACACCTACCGTGCTCAGCCTCCTCGCGTGCGAAATGTAACGAAATACTTAAAAGACTATATGCGCTTTTAGACTGTACATTGTTCATAATCATTACAGTATTAACTTTTAATTTAATTTTAGTGTCCGGTTTAGAATATCCCAGAAGAGATGTCTATTTTATGTTCTAGTCAATCATTTTAATGCCATGTCCATTCATTATTCAAGTCAATTACTACTTAATCTCTAGTCAATAAGCAAAGCATTGCAATTTTCTAATTATTATTGGTAACTACGGTAGGAAGATTTTTTCTTTTAAAAAGGATGTTGGGGATTTCGTTTCTTTATACATGTATTATGAATCTCAAAGATGAAATCCTAAATACTAAATACACTTTCTAAACTAATTCCCATTCTAGATGTAGACAAGTGATAAAGCATGCATTTCCAAGCAAGTTCATCTATATATGGGGCACGCTCATCAACAGTCTTTAGACATGGTTTGTTCACTTTTGATTAGTAAAGCTATTTTGTATAAGAGAAAAACGAATAATGTTAGTACGATGAAGATATTCACTGAAATTTTCGATGGTCTCAGAGGAGCTATTAAAACGTTTGTAGGAAATGTTTTGCTGTGAAAGTAGAAAAAGAGTTCTGTTGGGAACAAACGGTGAGTAGTAATTTGAGTAATATTATGAGACGACATCTTAAATATACGGGGAAAAGATAAAGAAATGTGTGCACTTTTTTGTGCAGTTTGTCGTGTGTTGCAACATTTTGTGATGTAAAGTAATTTGTTTGCAATTCTCAAAAGTTTTATTTACAACGCCATATCATTTTAACAGACAAAAAATAAAAATATGAGAAATAAACGAATTTTGTAAAGGGAGATATTCGAATTTCCAGTAATTAAAACTCAGACTTAACAGAAAAATTATAAATATGGGTCTGAAAACGCTTATAAAAATAAAATAACGACAGCAACCGCTAGGCCAAAATTTTAATTGTTAGATTCTAATTGGTCAATCTCTGCATCTCCTAAGACATGAAACAAAATAACCATTATCATCGATCATCATACAATATTTCAAACTTTAACATTTAACTTTACTCTAGATTTTTTTTTTTTTTTTTTTTTTTTTTTTTTCTTTTTTTTTTTTGCGAATCTCAAAAAATCGATAACAATTACGGAAATTTTAAATTCAATATGGATATACAAGTAATATTTCCATTTAATATCTAAAATATACATGTAAGAATTGGAAAACATAAAATATAACAATCTGAAATCCATAGTCAAATACTTTGAATTACTAGAGTAAAAACTTTTATTTACTATAGTGAAAACTTTGATACTATAGTAAACTATAGTTTACTATAGCAGACTGTAGTTAGCTATATCATTTTTTTTTTTGTTAGGGCTAGTGGTAGGGCTTGATCGTGATCGGGAGGGGCCTAGGTTCGATTTTTGTTCGCTACGCTGCATCAAACCTAAGATGTAAACTTAGGAAGTGACTCTTCATTTGCAAATCACCCGGCACTAAAAGTAAGTCACTGGTCTTTCGGATGAGACCTTAAAAACTGAGGTCCCGTCTAACAATAGGTGTTGGCACTGCTCGTTGCCACGTTTAGGTCTAAATTTGAAGCCCTTCACCGGCACACGGTTAGGTATCTAAATAAATAAAAAAAAAAATCTCAACCGGGATGTTAAACAACATACAATCAATCAATCTTCTGGTCTCTTTAAATGGGACAGGTCATTGTTTATAGGTAAGTTTTCCTTAATTTCAATAGCAAGAAGTGTTCCATTTTGTTTACATATAGAAATATGAGGAATACTCTTGTTATTTTAAAAGTTTACATAGTTTGATTTTCAGATATTGGATGCTGGAAGAATGAATGTATGTTGGAGTCTGATACCAGTTCTTGTGCTATTTTTTATCAAGGAAGGTATGTGTAATGCATATTTATTGACTCAAAATTTTCTTTCCCATAGTATAGAATATCCAGTGATCTTTATAGTTTGGATTGTTTGGTTGTTAGGATTGATTTTTTTCAACCACATTTTGAATTGTAAACACCGTTCCGCGTCATTTAATTTTCGAGCGAGACTGCTTTTTATCTTAATTCAATTTCTCTGTTTATAAAAGAAAAATGTACTATTAAGCTTTTCTCGATATTTTATAACCATTTATTGCAGATCTTTATATGTGCAAACATTATATTTATCTCGTTAATTTATGGTAGCTTTGTAAATGATTGGCAATATCTGCAGATTTTGATAGCATAATGGTCGAAAATCTTTTTTTTTTCTTTTTAAAAAATACTTGTATTTCAATCATTGTTTCGTTTTATTTATTTTTTCATGTTTGTCATCCCTTATAAATCAATGAGTATTAATATTAGTTTGACTTATCTAAACTACTAATGAAATATATTTCAATGAAATCAATGGTATATTTTTAAGATAATGAGTATATCTTACTTGAATTTACTTCTATTTAATTTTTCAAGGCAAAGGTTTGTCAACTGATCTGGATGACCTTAGGAAGGATTTTGGGGCGTGGTTACTGAAGCGTTCCCCCGAGTATTCAACCTTAATAGGCGTATACAAATACAATGACCGGGTGGAAGATTTTTCATACGCCAAGTTCCTGGAAGAATTTCTAGGAAATATTTTAAAGCCTTCGAATTTTAATAGAAATTAGTAACTCTTTATAAAACTTAAATTTTACAATTTTACAAAGGATATAAGTATAAGGTGTGAGTTCATTCATTTTAAATTAAATTATCAAGATATCAAGATATATATATATATATATATATATATATATATATATATATATATATATATATATATATATATATATATATATATTAAAGATATATATATATATATTAAAGATATTCTAATCATTAATCTTATTTTGAAGTGGGCATGTAAATTATCTGGTATCGCCATTTACAGAAATTCGTTAGTAAAATATATCATTTTAGGACGAATGCAAACGCTATCTACAGCATTTGAACAGTATTAATTACGATCAACTTACACCAGAGGAAAAGACAGATTTCGATATCTTCAAAGACTTATTAACGACGGTTGTTAAGGGATATAACTGGCGAGAGTAAGTTATTTTTCCCACATTTTAAAACTGGAATAAAGATAAAATGAATATGCAGACCTTTTGTCAAAGAAATAATACCGGTCTTACGTTTTGTTCTTTGGCAGATCCTTGGCACATAAAAAAAGCGTCGGCCCGAAGTTTTAAATTCAATTCAAAACCAAATGCATAAGTTTATAGATTTTTTAAACGTCTATTTTCAACACAATTTATGTTCAATTAACGTTTGGAGCTTCAGAAAACTTCAAATTTTAAAATTTCATTCATTGCATTTTAATATATTTGTCTTATTTAAATTAGCTACAGTGCGTTGAATCCGGTCAACATTCTCGAAACTCCACACACATTCTTACCCCATTATGTAGAAATAACACCATTTGACACAGTGGGTGACTATGAAAACTACCTAAATCGACTGGAAGCGTATCCAAATGAGGTAAATGTCTAGGACATGATAACATACATAATTTTATGGTAAATTTTAAAAATGAATCCAAAGCCTTATGTTTATCATTATGAATTAATTTTTTTTTTGAAGATAAGTATTAAAATTTACACTGAAAGAAATAACCTTTGGTATAACTTTTTATATCATAATCAACGCATACTCAAATATAAAGATTTGTTTTCCATTTCAGATAGACCAAATGATAATACGATTTAATAAATCAATCGAAAATGGACACACATATCATAAAGTTTCTGTAGTATGTATACACAAATCAGACCATTTAACAATATAGATTAAATAGACAACACCCGAAGGAATATGCATGTCCAGTAATAAATATTGCTTTCCTTTTAAAAAATATTTAATAATGATAGAATTATGCAATCTCAAATATTATGCACTTATAATATTTCTATTTACATTTTATTTAAATCTTAAATAAAGAAAGAACATCAAAATAAAATTTTCATCCAATCAATAAATGAAGTTGAAAAACGTTAAGATGTGTTTGATTTATACTATAATGTGCCTTTTTTTATTTCAGGGCCGTATTCCGGGATCTATTGATAGCATTCTTGAAGGTGCAAACAATACCAACTTCTTTCCCTACAAACCATTTCTAGACAAATTGACGAATCTTAATACCATTAATGATTCAAGAAAGTAAGAATTCTTTTCTTTTCTGTGTATTAAGTATCCTATTTCTTTTATCACAGTTCTTAATTTTTTTTTTAAATGCACAGACAGTACTAAGCGTAATAGAGTTTGAGTTCGAAGGTAAACACATTGAAAAGTGGTCTGTAAACTTGGTTCGATATAAGATGTTAAAAAGATTTCTAAAAAAAGAATTTCTTAGATGATTACTTGTGAAGTCTTGTCTGGGATTTCATATTCATGTATGTGATTGCCTGTTTTTAAAATAAGTATGATTAGTTATAGAAGGGACAACCGAGAGTGGTATTATGTCCTGAGCACATTCAAAGAGAAAGAGGCGTTACAAGAATTTACAGCTAGTCTCCTGGTTTACAAACTTATTTATAAGAAGGCATTCTGGGATATTCCTGTAAAAAAAAAACATTTAAAGTTTTCGATATTGATCATACAAAATCGTTGAAACAATCGCAATCAATAACATGCTTGTCAAATGTAGCCGATTCAGACATTGAAAAGAGTATCATAAGTCAATCTTAAAGAAAAGAGAAAGGCACATTGAACAATTAAAAAGAGAAACAGTCTTCTTGACCCAAAGTATTGTTTCTTTCTAATATCGACAGACATTTCGACAAGATGGAGAAGGGTTCTTGGTCTGTCTCAAAGCCCTGAGTCACCCATACCCATTAAATCTTTAAACAGCAAATAAAAATATATTCTTCTATTACAGGACAATACTAAGAAAGAGAGCTGAGACGGCTGTTCAGACTATCATCCAGAAATTTAGAGACTTAAAAAGTTATCTTGAAAATGTATGTTACTTTACAAAAGAAGGTTGACAATTCATAAATATATCCTTCTGTACGCCTATATATTATCATTTATATTTGATAATAATATTACCTGTAAATTTAATTCTCCGTTTCATTCATTGAAATTCTTCTCTGAATACTGTCCTGTAATGTTAGTAATAAATTGATCTTACATATAGTTTTATTTGAAAAGGTCTATTTTCAACATACAAGAAGTGGTTACGGGGTGCGTAGCTGGGATAATGGAGGTGAATTCTATAAGGAATGTCTACGTTGGCACCTTTCTCTGGATTTGTCACCAGAAGAAGTCCATAACATGGGTTTACAGGAAGTGGAGAGAATTTCTTCGGAAATGAAAAAGGTGAGTCATAATTAGTACATCAAGAAATCTGGTAGAATTTTTTTTTGTACAGAGATATAAAAAAGCATATGTTTTTTTTTTCTTTTGCCAGGTCTTGTTGAAACTTAATTACCAGGGTTCTGTAAAAGAGTTTTTTGATGAGCTTAAGAATAATTCTGCGTATTATTTCCAAACTGCGGTAAGAATGCTCCAAAATATGTAATTCGTATTGATCTGGAAAAGCAGAATTACTTTATGACATGTCGTGTAGTTTTCAGATATCATGCATAATATTTCAATTTTAGGATGAAATAATAAAGTGGTACAAGAATGCACTTAAAAAAGAAATAAATCCCAAGTTGTCAACTTTATTCAAGGACATTCCTGATTTATCAGTAGAGCAAGACATTTTTTTTATGTATAATGTGTGATGTGCGTCTGTGTACTTGTGATCAACAAATATGCTAAATTTTAAAGCTGTATTATTTCCACTGAATACTGACAGTTACAATATGCTTATGTATTTAACAATTTCTAAAAGTGTGGAGGCAGATCCAGCAGGTGGGATAAGTGGTCAATACATACCGGCACCTGAAGACGGATCACGTCCCGGAAAGTTTCTTGTCAACGTGAAACACCCAAATAAATCGTTAGTTTCTCTGCTATTATCATTAATAAAACCAAAATCATACAGATCTTATTATGTTATGTATTTCCCCTCACTTACAAAATTGAAGTTATTTTCTCAACTGTGTTTTTCTCTCTGTCCTAAATTGTAAAATTATGATTTTTTAGATGGACTATAAAAATAATAAATTTTGTTTTAATATAAAATTATAATCCTAAGTATTTAGTGTCGTAAATTATTTCAACTATAAACTTGCATATTTTATTATTGTGTCCCCGTAATCGAAAATTCGGGGACATATAGTTTTTGGTATTTCCGTCCGTCTATCTATCTGTCTGTCTATTTGTCTGTTTGTCTGCAAATACTTTAACCTTGGCAATAACTTTTGATTGGCTGGTGTTATGACTTTCATGTTTCAAATGTGTATTTCTTGTGACAAGACCTTTCTTTTGATACCAACATATTTGACCTCTTAATCCTGACCTTGGAGTTTGACCCACTTTTGCAAAATTTTACCAAACTTTCTCCTTGAAAAAATATAACTTTTGAATGGTTGGTGTTAGGGCTTTCAAACTTTACAAATGTATTCTTTCTGACAAGACCTTTCTTTGGGAACCAACAATTTTTATCTTTTGACCTTGACCTTGGAGTTTTACCCACTTTTTAAAACTTTAACTTTGGTTATAACTTTTGAATGGTTGGAGCTATATCATATTTTATATAAAATATCACTTATAATTCATAATTTCATATAATTCATATTACACGTGTGTAAAAAAAAAAATTTAAAAAAAATTAAAAAAAAAAAAAAAAGCTTCCTTTTGGCATCAACATCTTTGACCCTTTGAAGATGATCTTGGAGTTTGACTCACTTTTGAAAAACTTTAACCTTGGTCATAACTTTTGAACGGTCAGTGCTAGGGAAAATTATATATCACCTGTGTATTCCTTGTGACAAGACACCAACAATATTGACCTGCCATACGATATGTATCAATGTTTCATAAACACATCTTGCTTTATAAAAATAGTAGTAATCAGCTATGCACAGACAGTACTTAGCATAATAGCGAGCGCCGCTCGTCACTGCGAGCTCTAACGACAACGCCTGGGCGAAGAGAAAATTCGGACTACTGCACATTCATTCAATAGAATTTTTTCCGCATTAATTCTGGACCCACAATTCATCGCTTGTTGTTCTCGCTGCTAACTTCGTTCGCGCGGTAACAACAACTAAAAATTCATACAAAATAAACTCACCTTGATTTAATGGATATTGCATACAGATAGTAGATTAAACATTCTTTGTTAAAATCTTCGGACTTTTTAAACTTTGTTTATGGAAATGCAACTAACATACGACGTCATGTGACGTCACAGTCTAGACGTTCCAAATGTCTCGTGCGGTTTGAAGAGGCGGGTCTTAAATGAAGTGAACAATGCGCTAGCCCTAACGGTCGCACCGTCAACATATTAGAGTTTGATGAGTTACGAAGGTAAACACATTGAAGAGTGGTCTTTAAACTTGCTTTGAATTCTAATTTTGTCGTCCTCTTTACAGACTCACGATCAACTATATGGCTTTACTTATTCATGAAACAAATCCAGGTCATCATATGCAGGTGAAACATATTTTTAAAAAATACTTTTTTCTGTACTGATACCTTAACTGTTTAAAAGAAAGTGGAGGTAAATTACAATTGTTTTATTTTTTAAGATAAGTATTGCATCGACTGCCAGAATCCCTAGTTATAGGAAATACATGGGTGGACGTTTTTACAACGTTCCTTTTGAGGTCCCTTTTTATACAGCATATATTGAGGTACCATGGCAATTAATCCTATATTATTTATCTAAAATTAAAAAATAAAACTTTTAATTTTTACTTTATGATTGAATGAGTGATGTGATCTAGATGACATATATTTATTAAAATGAGAGAGATGCACACTGTACACATTTTAAACGGAGTGAAAATGAAGTGAAATAGAATGTATTGTGTTTGAAAATGTGTTTGTAAATGCTACATTTGGACATTGCATCTGGGATTTCACATCCCAAAAACCAATTGTTTAAACAAAATCGTCATACAGTGTTGTCACATGAAATCCCTGCAAAAATATAAAATTAGTGATGCGTGCACCGGGCGAATGATGCATTGATTAATTAAGAATTTTCAGATAAAATATGCTATATAACCCTACTATTAAGGTTTTTTATGTAGTATTATTCTAAATGTGAGCGACGATGTTCTGAAGCTGTACTTGTGACGGTATATTTTGTCTTTCTGTACATACTGTAGTCGGCGAAAATATGCATCTAACCTCGCTGCACATATTGTCGTTTATTGGCAGATAATGTCGTGAGCTGCAAAATTATTCAAGTACATATTGTCGCAGGTGACAATACATGTATGTGCCTACGCTCATTTTACATTTTGCCGACACACTGCTATGGCTTCAGATAATATGGATAATGATGAAGGTGATATCAAATATCATACCTTCAGTTTTCATGAGATTGCATGTTCACTTAATGACAAACTGATGCTTCTCTGTATACAGAAATGTTATTTTCAACTCAAATGAAACAACTGCAATAAAATTATATATTTCATGTACAATTTACACTGTGAAGAGGGTGATGGACGATAATATGTGCAGTGAGGGTGGGTACATATCGTCGTCGGTGACAATATGTACAGAAAAACAATATGTACCGTCTCCCTTGCCTCGGCACATATTGTCGCCGCTGTGAATATGTCCCAGGGATTTTGATTTCTGTATTGAATGTTTCTCATTTTCAATGTTTGAAATTGCAATAATTGTGTGCTTGTTTATGAATTGTCTATCAAAACTATATTCAAAGTATAGTATTTCACTTCTTCTTTCATCTTAGTTAGCTTTGTAACTATACAATGAAATTAATTTATATTTAATTCATTATCAATTATTTAAGATATTTATACCTATTTTCTCAGGGTTGGGCACTGTATGCAGAATTCCTTGGTGAAGAAATGAACTTATACAAAACTGACTATGACCTGTGAGTACGCATTATGTTAAAGATGGTCATCAAACAAAATGTACATAACTGATTTTTTTTTTTAAAGTTTTTGAGAACTTAGATGTAGCAGCAAAAAAATGGAGCCGTTCATGTAATACTTTCATTGAAAATTATCTGACATAAACGTTCTTTATTTCCAGCATGGGAAGATACAGATCTGAATTATTTAGTGCAGCTCGTCTCGTTGTCGATACGGGATTACATTATTTCAAGTAAGTTAATAAGAAATAATCTAACAATAATCTTGTAAACTAATATGGTTTGACCTATAAAAAAAGTAAAAGAACTATGGAAAGTTTGAAAAAATATATATCCTAGGCTTCTCTTTTAATCTTGCCCTCAAGCGTGTACACTAGTAAACCCAAACATCCAGACACCACATGCAGACGCATATAAAGTAAATCATATACGGTACCAATTTTGGTGCACCAGATGTGCATTTTGACAAATTATGTCTCTTCAGTGTCTCTTCATCCGAAACATAGGAAATCCAAATATTTAATTTAGAAAACTTTGAAGACCTGAAGAAAGTGGTGGTGCCAATTGCAAAGACTGGAGCCAAATACGTCGAAGGATCAAAGCTATGCATGAGGCAAATAATCCTTAATTTTGATAAAAATTTCTAAATTTTAACACAACAATTAAATATTTATCCGTATTTTCAAGTATAAGTGATACAATATTCCCTCCATTTGTTGCATGAGGGCATAATACTTTGCACTTTGGCGACCTCGTCAGTACTTTAAGTATATATGAGCAAAAAATTGTCTGAGGTTGTGCAGAAATAAATACGGAAATGAATAGAATTTTACACAGGTTTTTTACGACGCAAAAGCGTTCAGAACGAAAATTAAAGAATTATTATTTCTCAGGATAGCCCATTATTTTTTCTATCAAATACACGGTAGATAAAGATCATATTAGTTAATGACTTTAATTTTCATTTGCGTACTGTTAAGCTATAGCTTCCATGGCACTTTAATTACTCATACAGTGATATAATATATCTTAGATAACATGCTAAAGCATGTTTCACAATACACAGATGTTGAAATTCAAATAATGTCTCTTTCTTTGTAGCTGGACAAGAAATCAGGCACTGCAATTTATGCTAAACCACACTTCGGCTGACGAGAACATGCTTGCAACCGAAATCGACCGATATATAACATGGCCAGGCCAAGCATGCGCATACAAAATTGGGGAGCTCAAAATAAAAGAATTACGAACAAAGGCCCAAGTTGAACTAGGTAGTACAGTTTTAACAACGGTTTTGTATACACTAAGTTTTAAGGAAGAACTCTTTTCTTGAATTTCTAAATGCTATGAATATTATGAAGACGTCATTGGTATGAAATGGTTGACCCCACTCTTAAACATTTATTTATCTATTCAATGAACTTGTCTATAGTAAAATAGATTTATAGTAGTTCTCACAAGAGCTAATTCTAAAGACTTTTTAAGATTAAACCATTTTGATGAAATCTATATTTTGGATATATTAGTAAACTGTATAGAACCAGATATAACAACTATACATATGGACGCATGTATTAAAAAATATTTGCAACCGTGCGTTATTCATTTTTTATTTGATACTTATTTATTTTAGATAGCTTATGCATTATAGTAGTTTGGGATAGCACTAGCTATCCTCAATGTGATGGTTCGATATTAATATATTTTTCATTCAAGGAACCAAGTTTGATATCAAAGATTTCCATTCGACAATTTTGAAATATGGCCCCCTTCCTCTGCGTATCCTAGAAAATAATGTCAATCTGTGGATCGCCAAAACAAAGACTAAACCTACAGAAATGAGGGAGCAGTGCACTTCCGGTTCCTCTTTTGATACCAACTGGAAATTGTTTCTGATTTTTTACCTTACTTTAACATTAAAATCATGGATTTAACCCCCAACCCCCTTTATCACCATTTAAATGCACATACTGTCATATTTTCAAAATACGATTTTATCATTTAAATTCATTTCCTTATTCATATTTGTATATTTTTGCTGCCCTAGAATCACACAAAATCCACTACAGTAATTGACGGTGCACAAATATCTTATTATATAACAAGTATTTATGAAAGGTTAGATGTTGCTCAATTTTGCTTTGTTCTGTAATACAGTTCTTTTATTCAAGCATTTAAGATTATTTTGGCTCTTATGCATGCAGGTACTATACATTTTTTGTTAAATTAGTTTTAGAATGTAAATTATAATTCATATCAGCTGAACCGTGGCATCTAAAAATTGATGTGATGAATAAGAAGTTATGTCGAAGTGAGCGTTGATTTTATTGCCAATTTTTCTGATATCTGGAACACATGAACCCTACTATTTTTCGGCACCCCCACAATGTTGAAGATTTCAAAGTTTGACTGATAACAGTAATACTTGTTAAAGGAAATTAAGTAAAAAAAAAACGGAATAAATATTAAAAAAATATTTAAACACGGAATAAATATTAAAAAGTTGTACTGTTTTAATGTTTACTATGCAAGTGCTAAACATTGTGGTTATTTTCTCTTGTTTATTTTGTTTGTTTATTGTTTAACGTCCCTCTCGAGAATTTTTGACTCATATGGAGACGCAGACACTTGCTGGTGGAGAGCTGCAAATTTTGACCTATACTCGGCACTCAGGGTCATTGAGCAGTGAGGGATCTTTTTCGTGCCAGCACCTACTGCGACGCGGGACCTCAGTTTATACGGTCTCATCCGAAAGACCAGTCCCCACGGCCCACAGTGGGATTCGAACCCGCTACGTAAGGATCAACTCCTTACTCCGCGACTCTAGAGCGAACGCTCTAACCACTGCGCCACGCGGGCGACTTTTTTCTTATATATTTTTTTTTCTTTATAATCAACTTCCAATTATCAGCTCTTATTGTAATTTCCTTTACCTTTGTAATACTATCATTTGTGCAACTGTAATTATAGAATTTCTTTATCGAGTCCATAGAATTTACAATAGAGAGAGAGATTTTTCTTTCAATCACTAGGCTCTGTTTCATAGACACACTACCGTCACAATGTTTTCCTACACCTATAGCTTGCATCTCCTGATACCCTGATATTTACTGAAAATAAACCACTGTGTATTTTTCTTTTAAAATTTCTTACATTGGAGCCGTCACGGTAGCTCAGTCGGTAGAGCGATCGCTCCGTGATCGGAAGGCCGTGAGTTCGATTCTCGGCCGCGACTGACCTAAGTCGATAAAAATAGGTAGCAACTATTCCTTCGCCAGGCGCTCATCACTAATTGAAAGTTGTGGGACCTTAAAAACCGACGCCCCGTCACGGAAGGTGTTGGCACGATAAAGATCCCTCACTGCTCAATGGCCCTGAGTGCCGAGTAAAGGTCCAGTTTTGAAGCCCTTCATCGGTATATGGTGACGTCTCTATATGAGTGAAAAATTCTCGAATGGGACGTAAAACAACATACAATCAATCAATCAATCTTTCATTGGATATGAAGATGTCAGCATGGAAACATTTTAACAAGTTCATTTTGCATAATTACAAATGTATCAATATGAAGGTTATCGCTCTGTATCATAGATAGCACCGGGGATTGAACCCGGTACCTTCCGATTACGAAGCGACTGCCCTACTACTGGGCCTACCGCGTCCGGTAATATTACTTTAAAGACGAATATTATACATTTATTGACTGGGTTCGAGATCAACATGCGTTTTGTAGGACCAAAGAACCAAACTGAGAATACAGTCAATTTATGTTTTGTTATACGTTTTATTTATTTATTTTTTTTATTTTTTTTATTTTTTTTTTTTTTTATTTTTTTTTTTGACATACATGTATCTTGTGCTGGCTTCTATGTAGTAAATTTCCTTTACCTGCACTAAAACTCGGTCAATTCTGTCACTGTCGAACACCAACGAATACAAATAAGATTTAGCAGATCCCGCCCACAGTGTGACGTAAGCGGTCTAATATCTCATTGACATGCCCAATATCTCACTCTGCGGTCAAACGTGGATTTTTTTATGACCACTCAGTAAAACATTGAAAATATGAGACTTTTTTGGTATATATTTATATAGAAATTTTTTAAAGACGTATCAGTCTATATTGCAGTAGAGTAACTTCTGCAAGCGAAAACAGCATTAGCTTTAGTGTCAACTGTTAAAAATGTCGGACTTTGTTCCTACTCTGTTGTTCTTATATAAGCTATGTATGTTTTGCATGGCAAGAATTTCCTCCTCACAGTGTCCTAGCAATATTGGAAAGGTTGAAATTAAGGACGTTTTTCCTGTACTCAATTACTGAGCAATTTGTTAAAACGTATTTGTTTTATATTGTAAAATATTCATTGCCTTATGTTGCTATTTGAATGTTTCTCGATTTTCCCTGTAAATAAAAGTTTTTATCCAATTGAATTTGTTTGTGATTAATAGCTGTATTTCAAGACTGAAAATTTCGGCATAAAGCCGTTTATATTACACAGGTACACTACTGAGAAATGTCCTTATTTATCAAAATTTTATTTCATCTCAAAGAAGTGTTTTTTAACTGTTAAACAATTATCATTGCAATATGAGGAAGGATATTCGGTACTGAACATAAAAAGTTTTTTATTGTAAATAAAAACATTTTTGGCAGCAAATCTTGTAATGAGATATTATTGTTGTAATTATATACTCATTGTGGATAACAATAATGGTGAAAGTCTGAAATTAGCCACCAGACATGTAGATGGGGGGCATCATTATCTTTTGCATCTGGTATATTATTACACAAGTCATCAGATGGAATTTGCAATCTTGCATGGCAGGGACAGTGTGTCGCTATGTTGTCGGGTAAAATGCGTTTTGTCGACCCGATCGAACCAAACTGTTTTCCTTCGGCATAACGGCCTCAAGCAAACAATTTGGTTCTTGGGTACGACAAAACGCATGGTGCCCTCGAACCTAGTCATGTAATATAAACTATTAAAAAATATACCAAGCCAGGTGAATTTTAATGAAGAAAAGCTAAATGGTAAAAATCAGCCTATGTGATTTTTCTGATTTATTACCATTTAGCTTTTCTTTATAAAATTCACCTGGTTTTGTATATTTTTTTTAAATTTATATTAGACTTTTAGCACCAAGCTAACATATTCTGAAATTTATTTTCATCTGTAAACCTTTACTGAGTGTGATTTGTTCATATTTTTAATTTTATTGAAGTATCAACTTATATTTTCCGAGTGTCATTTCTTTTATGTAAGAAAATACAACAGGTTATTGAGTAAATGTAATATCAGTTCACTTTGTGATCCTTTAGAAAAATTTTTGAAGAAAAAAGAAGGTAAATGAATGAAGATTAAACCATTTTACCATGATTACTCTAGTTATGTACTTTTTGGAGGAAATATGGAAGGTATTTCATTCTCCAAGTCTAAGGAGAAAAAAATCAAAGAATTATCCACTTTTCTAAAACTGTGACATATTAAGTCTCCTCCAACGAAAAAAAATTGTATCATCTGTCCTTAAGAGATAACGACTATTAAGGGAAAAAATCGGAGTAGTTGCCATTTAAGTCAGCATGAATGACATCTACGAGCTTATATTAAATGAGTTGATAAAAAAATGTGATAGACATCTTTGATGGTTAGTCATTGCCAGTTTTCAGTTTCGCACAAATCAAGCTTTTAAATTGTGAAACTAATATTTTAATTTAACTACCAGTCATTAATTTACTCTATGCTTACTATTCTAACAGCCAATTTTAAAAAGGCAAAATGCTGTATACAACATGGAGTTAAAGAGATTTTTTTTTTTTTTTCTTTTTTTTGGTATCGAAAGGTTTACTTCAGCTAAATGTTTGAAATAAACAGAATATACAATTTCTAACATTTCAGATGGTTGATATCAATGTTTAACACATATCAAGAGAAAAAAAACTTATGAAATACATGGAATATTTTTTTAGTTAAGAAAGAGAAACTAAGAAATGCATCTTTGAATTGTGTATTTCATTAAGCAACATGGAAACACTATTGCAAATTCTATTTAGAATTTATGTTACAATTTGGTTAATTTCCCTGTCACAGAAGTTTTATCACTGACCCCCACAAAGCATAGCATTTCATGTTGATTCTCAGAAAAAAAAATTCAAGTCTAAATTGCTGCGTATGATTTTTTTTAGTATAAATGTCACCTTTTTTTCATTCAGGGATAATATTCGTTTTAATTCTGTTATAATCATATCTTCTGTCATGTGTGGCTATCGTCTGGTCGTAGTCCATTTGATGATATGACAGCTTTAGTTGAATTAAGTTCCTCCAGGATGATAGAAGTACTCCTTACATAAATAATTATTTTGGTAATAAAACTATCAAGTATATGAAACTTTATTTCTGTACCTGCATAGGTTTTTTTTTTTCAAATCTTTTTTCTAAGGACAGTCCTTGGTTTTCACAAAATATTATTAAAATGACTTTTCAAGATTATATACCCTCCCAAAAATATGAGTATGCATGATGCAACAAATTGCACTGCATAATCAACATTTTTCTGACAATGGTAGCTTATTTTACAGAACAATCTGTGAATGCAGCATACTATGTTCTGTTTGTGTGTTGCATAATTTGTGGCAAAATAGAGATGTATTGGAAATCTATGCAAGTATTACATGTAACAGTTTTAATGTTGACAGAAGGTACGTTGTTTGCAAATTAAAATGAAGTCATATTTACGGTAAATGCTGAAAAATGAACAAATTAAATCAATTGATGCATTTTATTTGAATATCGGCTACCTCTTGTGAATTGAAAAAAAAAAAAAAAACGTTCGGTTATATTCCTCTACATTATATTCCCATAAATACAAGCCAAGCATAGCATAGCATGAATTCAATAGGAAGTGATTATTTACATATATATTACTTAATGAAATAAAATTTATCATCCTTAAGCTATTTTGC